GATTTTAAAAAGGTTGTAATACGCCCCCTGATCTATGGCGGAGGTCACTGCAGGTCGAAACTGTCGCCATTACAGAAAACGAGGTCAAGTGACCTGGGTGCGTCGCTTTGAACTTTGTGTTATGCTCTGATTAACGCGCCGTTTTGTCAATACACCCTGTATAGACAGCATGTTAAACAACACCTTTATTTACACCAATTTATTCTTTATTTACTCTCCATAAAGTTGAAATAGTCTTGACATGATTTAGTGTAGGTTGATCTGCTGTGGTGAATCGGGGTTGAGGGAGAAGTTGGTTTCGCACAATAAGTAAGGAAAGCCATTTGTTCCAGTGGAGAATAGGTCCCTGAAATGGGTTCCTGTAATGTTAACAACTATATAATTATTCATTGTTTGAAGGTTCGCCAATTACAACTTATAAACTGCTTTAGTCAAAACTGTTTTGTTACATCATCGTACCGAAATTGTGTTGGTTTGTTTGAATTATAATTATTAGAGAAAGGATTGGCTTCTAGACCAAGGAAAGTGTAAAGCAATAAAAAATTATGCCATTTGTTTGCTACTTTATTCTTCTACGTGCTATTATTTAAATTGAGTGTTGGTGTCAGTTATAAAGAATTTTAAGACGATATTATATTGTGACGGAAAAGAATTCATCATGACGTCTATGAATGGTTGTCAAACGTTGCCTTGACAAAGAGTTCGAGTCCCGCCGTAAGCATGGAGTTTTTAGTTGATGGAAATTTTATGTAGAACTTTCTGGAAGCTTTTGGGTAAAAGAAATGGAAAATTAAAGAGCGAGAAGGAGAAAAAGAAATGAATAATGAAATTAATAATGAAAAGACGAACGAAATTGAATGTTCCAGAACCTGACCGGGGGTATATAAGCGGAACTGCGGCTCACCGCTGGCAGTTGAGTTCTAAGAAGCGATTCGGAAGAAAAGGAAGAAGTGAAACAGAAGAAAAGTGAGTGAAATAGTAAAGCGCAGTGAAATAGTGAAGTGCAGTTAAGTCAGCGTAAACAGTGAGCAGCAAACGGAAGTTTGTGTCAGACTTAACTCGGTGGACGCTGTCACTAACTTAAATAGAAAGTCTGAAAACCGGTATTAGTGTTTAATTTCATCCAATCCCGTAAACTAAGCCCGCATAGTCAGGAACGTGACGTCAGGCCCGTACAATATTAAAAAAAACATGGGACTACAGTACTTACTAATTTCTTCTGTATCGTGGGTGCGTTTACAACTATACAAATTCACATACACAAGCCACCCATATCCGACACAATTTGTGGATCACACAAAGTATTGTTCTGTGCGGGAATCGAAGCCGCGACACGATGCACAGAAGCCAGTTGCCCAGCCACGGCGCTAACAGTGTAGTCAATAATAAAAAAAAGAGTTGATAAAAGAATTTGGACCTGTCGTCTGAGTGTTATTGTTCTTGCAACATATTACACGAAATGTTTCATAATTATTTCAATCGAAAGAAAAGTCTAAGTCAGCGATCTGCGCTTTTTTCAGTAATGTAATTCCTACTTTATTGTTTTGTATATAAAGCTGAAATTCTTTCTATACGATGTGTATACTGTGCGTAGCGTACAAGACTAGTACACATCACTTGTAAAGCGTTCACAGTAATTGATTGACATCTTTGTCGCACCGTTTGTCTCGACTGCCTTAATCAAATGAGGTGCAAATTTGCCTTTTAGTAAACTTCTAACTTGCCCATGTTACCCAACGAGAGGAAGCCTATGTGTTATTCCAGATTGTAATATTTTTGCGATTATCATCAAAATCCATTCAGTAGTTATAACGTGAAAGAGTTACAAACATCTTAACATCCATAATTACATCATTTCGCATTTGTAATACTGGCTTTTTTTGAAGATAAGTTTTTTTTTTTTTTTTTTTTTTTTTTTTATTACCATTTAAAAAACAAAAACATGAATAGGTATACATAGCATTCATAAACTACTGAAGTTTGTAATTAATGCTACTACTAGTTTACATCAAGATTGTTAGATCTAGGTTTAAGGAATATTTACTTATTTACATATGTAGGGACATTACATTTAGGATATTGGTAACTATATTCCCAATCTAATATCAGTATTCCAAAAGCTGCAGAAAGTAAGACTTTAGTTTAATTTTTATATTACTTTTTGTTATAGCATTTCGTATGTCTGCGGGTATGTTATTATTTAAACGAGGAACCAGGTAAGATGTTGTGCGCTCGCCGTAAGTATTGTTGGCACCTACTGTGCAAAGCCGGTTTCGAGCAATCGCTCGGGTGTATACAGGGTGTTGGATAAGTTTTTTTAAATGGTCATTAAAAAATTGTTCTTTAAGTATCACATAATTAAATTGCGTGTGAACGGGTAATACATTACAATGTTTGAATAATCCTTGATCATTGTCCCTGAATTTGTTTTTTATATTTGATGACACAATATTTTTAAGAATTTTTAGTTGCAGTTTGTATATTTGGTTGAGATAAGTTTTAAAAGTCCTACCGTAACTGCTTAGTCCATACCGGATATATGATTCAGCTAAGGAATTATACAACATAAGTTTAACTTTGAAGGGTATTCGGTTCTTAAGAATTATAATATTAGCTAAAAATTGCCTTAACCTATTACAAATATGCTCAACGTGCTTGCCCCAGTTAAATTTGTTGTCTATCTCAAGTCCTAGATATTTTTGAGAAGCTACTACCTCTATACGAGGACAGTTACATGTCCCCGTACGAATGTCATGCAAACATTTATGATCGTGAGCAATTATATTTTTAGGATAATAGCATTTTAAATATGGCGACTTTATTATTACTAATTTGGTTTTATTAGCATTGAGTACTAATCCAGAATCGTGGCACCGCTTTAATAATGAGTTGAAATCAGATTGCAAACGATCACATGCACTTTGAGGGTCCTTATCAGCTACTACTAAACAAGTGTCATCTGCAAACTGGTAACAAGTGCTGTGTTCTATACAGCTACTCATATCGTTCACATAGGCCAGAAAGTGTAAGGGCCCCAAGACTGAACCTTGTGCTGTGCCCTCTGTAACTTCAATTGTCTTACTTAAGGACTCACTAACCTTAACAGAAAACTTTCTGTTATGCAAGTAGTTCCCGCACCATTTCAGCAAAGGGCCACGTATGCCACTAATTTCTAGTTTATGTATTAGATTTTTATGATTTAATGTGTCAAAAGCTCGAGAGAAGTCAATAAATAAAGCGTATACTATTTTTTTCTGATTAAGGTTTCCATTAACTTCATCAGTAAATTTCGATAATAAGTCCGTGGTTCCTTTGCCCGATTGAAATCCGTATTGATTTGAGTAAATTACTTTATGTTTTTTATAAAAGTTATGGATTTGTTGACTTACACATTTTTCAACAGTACAACATATATTATCTTTCTCTATACCAAATTTCATTATGCAAAGTTGCCGCTTATTGTGCAAATTTAGGTCAGATGTTGAGTTAAAATTGTCACATATTTTTTGTCGGTTTCCAATAGTAAACGGTAGGTACTGCTAGATCATAATATTTCTAACAACTCTTTATAAGATCACACAATATAAATAGTTCATTTTATAGTCCAGAGCCTTTCCTTTGCAATAAAAATAAAAATGGCACGACCCAGTGAACGGCTGAATGAGACAGGGAAACACAGCAGTGTCGCCGCGTATAGAACGAATGAAATGAATGAATGAATGAACGATAACGACACAGTTACATCACGCGCCGAGTTATTACATTTTTAATGGGTATTTTAATCATATTTATGGTTATTTTTATTATGTGATACCTTTCATTCGAGGTTTTGTTCATTTTTATTGCTCTTTGAAGTAATAAACATTATTTTGAGCAACTGATGGGCGTGAAGTTTATTTTTACTTGAGGTTTGTACCTTTTTTAGGTTCAAAGGGTAAGTAGGTCTTCTTGGTTAACGTAACGATCAGAGGTGACACTAATTCAAGAGTATTTCTAGTACCTAATATGTAACAATTTTCAAGCTAAAGTCCTTGGATGTGATTCCCGGTTTGACGAAAGAATTACTGAGGTTTTTGTTTTCTACATTCTCAGTTTTATCACGCTCTAGTATATTTTATCATGGCTTTAAAAGACTGATAGATTCACGATGACTAAAAGGTATGATTATTTAATTTTAACTTATTAAGTTTAAACTTATTCACGTAACTGCACAAAACTGGGCACACTGAATTAAAAAAATAAATAAATGGTGGTGAAGAATCGAGTCTTCAGTGACCTCACTCACATGGCAAAACACAACGCTGTCGTAGTTTCACGCCTGTTTTCTGTGACCAATGGTATCATTCCAGTCATTTGTCGCGAAGCATGGCTCTTCCATACTTTATGGTATGATATTTCAAAATAAATTGTACCATTGTGTCCGAAAACCCGTTAATTTGATTGGTGATTAATACCCAATGAAACAGCTTCCCTAAGAGTACTCTAGTGTGTTGTTGAAAGGTTCTTGATATCCTCACACATTAACTTTCATTGTATGAGCTTATGAGACTTATTTAAAATAAATTAAAATATGGGAGTTCTGAATGTTATTCACTAGAATTACAGAGCAGATTTGTTAGAGCGTGTATCTGATTATTTTCTAAATCGTTTGTAGATTTTGAATCTGTTAACATCATCCAATCCACGTTCCGCAAGTGAAACTGTTGTTGTCATGACAACTAGATAACTAACGAGTTCTTGTTTAGATTAAGTATAGATATTTAGGGAACAGAGAGAAGTTCCCTAAGACCTGAAGAGGAGGATCCTCTGACCAGGCGAGGTTTTCGCGTGCAAACTTCACTTTGCGTGATGTAGGATTGGTGACGCCATCTGTTGAACATTGTTCTTACTAAGTGCGTCGCTACAAATATGACATGTTGTCGTAAACAATAACGTGGACGAAACTTATCAAGTGTAATAACACTTGATAAGTTTCGTCCACGTTATTGTTTCACTTTCAGGCTAATGATGGTGCTGATAATATATCAGCACCATCATTAGCCTGAAAGTGTCGTCTACTGAGCGAAGGTATCGTCTCATACGAAGAAGGAATGAGCATTAATCACCACGCTTGCTTAAGGCGAATTGACGATTTAGGACTCCTATGTCCGTCAAGGAAGATTTCGGCCAGTCATTGACTCACCAATACACACATCTGGACCTCAGGCGTATGTCTGAGTTGTACTTCGTTTATCCCCAGATTGCGCACTTACAGTCTAGTCTGACACATGTATTAGTGTATTCTATTTATTGCAGAGATACAAGAGGTACAAACATTTTAAAAGTATTATTTTTTCAGGATTCCAAACGATTCTTCATCATCACTCAGAAAAAGTCACATTGGTACTTGCTGGGTTATAAACTCGCATCTTGATGCATGAGAATGAACCTTAATAGGCCACAATGACATGGTCCTATGTAAAAATTAATAATTATATTTTACCAAATTCGTTTTCAAAAGTCCATTTGTTTGTAACAAAAGGCAAGAATATTCATACAGCTGATGTTAGTAAACCAAACAGCACAAAATCCTTTTCCTTAAAAGTCATTCAATGTAAACCTTCGTCTAGTCCAAGGCTCGCCACGTGCAGTGTGCGGTCCTCGGCAGAGGTCACCGGGGGTCATGCCTCGTTCAGTATCTGGGTCAAGCGACTGTCTGCGTCTGGATCAGCTGAGTGTAGCCAGCAATCGATAACAATGAGATCACTCAACCAAAAATACGACAGGCAAGTACTCTGGAAATATGAGAACTTCCTTCATATGGACATTTACTCACGTACGTTTATGTTCGTGCCAAAATTCTTATAAACGGTTCCTTTTTTCTTTTAATAAAGCCGAACCATGGAAGCCATTGTGTTATTTTAAACAATACATGGACTTGGGATCAGATGTTGAAGCTGATAGATTAATACTACTGCAAGAGGTTTTTTTTATGTTATAGGACGGCAAACGAGCAGACGGATTACCTGATGGTAAGCAATCGGCGTCGCCCATGGACACCCGCAACAAAGAAGGAGTTACGAGTGCGTTGCCGACCTTTTAAGGATTGGGATTTTGGGGATTTTGGGGATTTTGGGACTGGGAAGGGATTGGGGTAGTGGAAGGATTGGGCCTCCGGTAACCTCATTCACCCGGCGAAAGACAACGTTGTGGTTGTTTCACGCCGGTTTTCTGTGAGGCCGTGGTATCACTCCGGCCGAGCCGACCCATTCGTGCCGAAGCATGGCTCTCCCACACTTAAAGTTCAGTGATTTCTTGTAACTGTAACTCAAAAACAAGTTCCACAATGCTTATTGTAGTAAATGAGAATTCCCTGCCTACCTAACAGCTCCAATAAAAATACCACCTCGTGTAATCAAAGGTCGTTTCCCCATTTCCTCATCAACACAATCCCTCCCTCCCCCATGATGGGAGTTTGTCCTCATTTCAAAGTCCGCTCATTCATCAGCATTTCCTGAATAAAACAATTATTCTTTGTCACCTCACACCACGTTCCTTGCCGTAATATTAGCCATGTTTAAAAGCTGCAGCAATTACCGGTTGCTATCACTGGCAACATTCCAGCGTTTCCCAAACTGGTCATCAATCAGGCGAGGTTGTTGACCCCACATCGATCGCGCTAACTAGGTCACTCGGTTGAGCGTAGCTCTTCCATTGATGTTACTGGCGAGGTAATTCAGAGGATCTAGTTTGAGGGAACATGTGTTTTGTTTACTCCGCTCGTTTTTATTGTGGTTGTAAAGGTGTTAGGAAAAGGATTTTAAGTGTGGGAGAGTCATGCTTCGGCACGAATGGGTCGGGTCGACCGGAGCACGGTCGACCCTACCCATTCGTGGATCGGACCACGGCCTCACAGAAAACCGGCGTAAAATAATCAGTGTTGTATTTCGCCGTGTGAGGAGGGCCAATCCTTCCACACCCCGAATCCCTAATCCCCAAAAGGTCGGCAACGCGCTCGTAATTCCTCCGTCGTCACGAGTGTCCATGGACGTGATTGCTTTCCATCAGGTAATCCGATTGCTCGTTTGCGACCTATCACATAAAAAAATGGTGCTTCATTTTACTAATCTCAGTTTAACATTACTTTAGTTGAGATGGAGGTTCACCTTTTGGTTATCTAACTTTGTTATTCAAACTGCGAACTATACATTTTTCTAAAGTAAGCAGTATCATAAAACCTATTACCTAGCACATTCACAACAATTATATGTTCTCTTTTTCTCGCTCTCTCTCTATTTCGCCCTTTCCCCCCTCCTTCTCCTTCTATCTCTCTCACTGACTCCCATTTTTTTTAAAGTCAATACATGGCCTCCACGTCGTTTTTCTCCTGTGTTCGTAGGAGCGTTTACAAACATACAATTTCACATACACATGGCTCAGATGGCACAAAGGGTTGTTCCGTGCGGTAAACGTACCCGCGATACGTTGCACGGCAGCCGATTGCCTAGCCACCGTGTAGTACAAAATGTTGGATTTATTATTGAAAACAACAAATTCTGAAGACGACTTATCGTGCATGGTTCTTCTGCACGTTTCTGTATAGCGACGTAGATGAGGTGGCGGCGCGAGGCAGGATATTACTTGTTGATATTGTCTAGATAACTCTTCAATTAAACTGCTAAATTGAATCGCGTGTTACTACTATATTCTCTATATAAAATCCAGCCTACACTATATTGCTGTTTAATTATGTGAATAGAATAGAAATATACTTTGTTATTAAAAAAACAAGATTTTTTTTTTCAATTGAAATTAATTTGAGAACCTTGTCATCTTAGTACAAGACTGTGGTGTGAATGCTTACAAGTCTACTGATGTTACCTTTTTAAATTATTAAATTAAACAACCTATATAATGTAAAATTACTAATTACTGACTATTAGAAGTACGCCCAGCGATTCTAAATAAACGAGACACCACGGCCTCAAAATAAAACTGGCGTACAAAAATTGTGGCTTAAGTTGTGTTTCGTCCGGTAAGTTGTCTGAGTCTCAGTCTTTTCTTTTTCTATCCCCAAGGATTAGAATCCTCAACACTCCCAAAAGGACAGAAATGCTCAAAAAAACCTTCTCCTTGACGTTCAAAAGTGCGTAGTTTTCTAATAAATGATTTGACTTTAGTTTTACAAAGATGTGTTATAAGAATACTATGAATTTGTTCCTATTATGGTACCGATTAAATTAACAACATTGTTTCTTGATAATTGTTTATGTAGGTAATAAATTTAATAGTTTTCCTTCTCGACCATTCTCTATACAATCCATAATTAATGGTAATCTATAAATATGTCTATTTATTAAAGCAATTGCTCAGTCAATGCTAAGTGGCTACGGCCTTCCGTGTGCGACAATATAAATATATCAGCTGAATAACCGATCGAGTGTTTTTAAATACTTTGATAATTACAAATCTACTAATTACCTACACATTAGTTACTATGACTTATCAAGAGTTAGGTGTTTCTCTGATATTGAGATTGTGTTATCCTATTCCAAATTTAAACAACAATAGTACCTAGTACAGGAGATTGAGAGGAAAATTGACAATTAAATAAAGATTAATTATTTTTGCACTTTTATCGAATTTTTATATGGTTAACGATATAAGCTAATTTTTTATAAGAATTCTTAGTTAGTGTAGTTAAAAAATGTCAGAGACAGACATACCCATAGGTAGTTCCAATATAGGTAATACAGTGCCCGTCAGAACCGGTTTTGTTTGTGGATACTGTGAAAAATATAACTGTGTACATTTTGCAAGAAATAAATAAACTAAATAAAAATGGCGCACTTGTTAACAAAAATTCATTCCGGGCGCCCTTTGTTTTATCGTCGTGTGCGTTTCGTATCGTCCGCACGGAACCCTAAGACTGGTCCTGGTAATACTTTAAATACGCTTTCATCTTTGTCCCAAGATACACTGATTATTTGGTCACAAAATTACCTTGAGCGCAGCAGCTGCACTGTTGTCAAAAACACGTAAACTACTTATAAGATAACAAAAAATTTTAATCAGGGACAAATTTTAGTAGGTATATATTTCTGATAATAATATCTATATGTACAAAAACAATAAAAACTTGAAAATATATGCAAACATTTTATGATTTTGAATCTAGATTTTATTTATTCGCGTCTTTTTGCATTTGTTCCAAACTGGAGATTCGAGGAAGGTGAAAATGCTAATTAGTTTTAGTGTATTTTTGATAAAATGGAATTTTGAAGGCTAATGAAGTAGGTATATCTGCTTATTATTGTACGAGTATTACCTATATTTATTTTGATAGTTGTGATGGTGGATGGATGAAAAATAACTGGCAACAATGGCCCTTATAAATAATATAATTTTAATAAAAAAACTGTATTGTCATTCGTGAAGCCTTTTTTCCTGCTGTCCCAGTTTCAGAATGTAAGTAGTATAGCTATAACCAGCAGCTTTTCCCACAATACCGGGATAATAATAATAAAACCATATTTATTCCTATATCTATATCTGTGCTAAACTTCATTTAGATACGTTTAGTAGTTTTTACGTTATAGCGTAGAAAACATGCATGAAAGATGCATGCATACAAAAAAGAGAGTCAATTTCCTGAGCAGGAGAAGGAACAGGGGGTTTTAGTCAGTAAGAGTCTGACACTCCCTCCCGCCCGGCCCTGGGCGGGAGAAGTCATTTGATGATTTTCCCCTCACAAAAAAAAACCCCGGCCTTGGTCGAATCGAAATCGAAATCCGAAACAATCCTAATGTCGTGGTAGCCCGGAGGTTATGGCACCCGCTTCTCACGCATGAGGGAGCGGGTTGGAAACCATGCAAGTACCAATGTGACTCTTTCCGAGTTATATTTACTTTCTAAGTTATTAAGAAACCACTGACATATACGGTAATGGAAAACATCGTGAGGAAATCTGGACTTATAATTTCTAATTATAAGTTTGAAATTTCCAATCTGCCTTGAGCAACCGTGGCGATTAATGTTCAAACCTTCTCCGTGTAAGAAGAGGCCTTTGCTCAGCAGTAGGCACTTATGATGATGTGGAACCCTAAACCACAGAAAAAATATTTCATCTTTATTCTTATAATCTTCATTATCCAACGACTGCGTTAACGGAGCGATCAAATACATGCTTAGGTATAATATATTAATTCTATTTATTTAAAAGCGTTATAATACTCTCAAAAGTATCCACTAATTATTATCCATATCGTTTCCCGATACACCCATAGAACTTTAGCACATTCACTCTAAGCATTCATGCACGTGACGATTATATTATATACATATATATACAAGTTACGAGTACATAAACAAAAACTATGTATACGGGTGAAAAGAACCGGTTGACGTTGACCTTGAAGTGATTTTTATGTAAATATTATGATAGGCCTACTATTCTACTAATATTTTAAATGTTTGTAAGATGTATGTTTGTTACCCTTTTATGTAAAAACTACTGAACGGATCTGGATGCAATTTGGCACAGATAGAGTATGTCGTCTGGATTAAGACATGGTGTATTTTTACCGGTTACGCTAGCGAAGCTAACAGGTACTTTATTTTTACGAATGTTAAATTGTTTTTTTTCAATCAAATGTTAGAAATTATGTTTGTAATTGTTTACTTACAAACATAATTTCTACATTATGAAAGTCATTGTAACATTAATTTATGTACATAAATGTGTGTTCATAATAACATTACGCCACACCCTTAATTCCCTAAGGAATGGACAGATAATTTTACAACTACTTTTCGGTAGTTTTTTTAAGCCGTCCTTTGGTACGAATAGGGCCAGCCTAGAGTGGATAGCAGGGTTTTCAAAAAAAGCGGAATCAAACAATGAAAGCGTTAAGTTTCGTGAGTGTGGATTCTCAAGGCCTAAACTTATCACGTGAACCCCAGTCCACAAATCTTCCATGAAGGAACACGATCTATAACTTATCATCATTCTTTTCAGACTGCAGCATTTATTTTTTAGTAATTGAAAAGTGTTGCTGCCTTACTTGTTCCGTTTATCTCATCAGGGATGTTTTTCAAGGGGCCCGGTGAGCTACTCTTACTCATCGGAAGGCGAGCAAGGATAGCTCGCCACCCGACTTGAACCAGACGCGGCGTACCAATAGACCACTACAGACTTGGCCCTATAGGGCTGATATTCAGCCGTCGTACTTGCGGGGCAAGCGTGATAAGGCACCGTGGCCTCGGCCTAGAGCGAGAGAACAGGGGATTTTTAGTCAGAGGGAGTGTCAGTAAGAGTAAACTCTTACTGACACTCCCTCTCGCCTCACCCTGAGCGGCAGAAGTTATTTGATGATTTTACCCTCACAAAAAAGGTTATGTTAACCAGAATTTTATCATGTACTACTAAATATTCTCCGGAAATAGGCACCGTGATAAATTGTCAGCACCACAACCTAAATAAGGCATTTAATGTTGCGTACGTGCACCATTTTACTTTGAGATGAAATTAAAACAATTTTTCTTGTTACTTAACTTTATGCAGTTCTGGAGCGACTGGATGAGATTAAACTTATTTTTTCTGTTGACCTTTTGCTAGTCGTAATGAAGTAAGAGAGTTTGCCTAGAAATATTGTTTTACATAGATAATCTAATTAATTAAAACAAGTACACTGATTTAATTGTTTATTTACCAAAAAGAAAAAATCATTAATATGTTTTAACCCCCCAAAATTGACATGTCAAGAAAAAGTCTATAGAGAAATATCAAGAAATTTCGTGTAATACTGAGTTTTGTCACGTGATCACGTCATGCATTTTTTGCGTCGAATAAGATTGTAATTTCTTGACAATTTGATTCGTTTGAAAAATACTAATATTTATTGGAGCGTTAATGTAAAATCAATAAACAAAATTGTGATTTTTTTTAAGTAAAAAATGTAGTACAATTTATCAATGACCGTTTTTATAATGGTGTGAAAACTTATATCAGAGTGGTAGATCTCCAATAATCTTTATTAGCATCTATAAATAGTACCCATGAATTAAAATATATATTTTATTCGCTATATCTATTAATAGAAGTGCAATGTCAACTACTTATGTATTAACATATTGTTAGATATAATTACCATTCCAGTACAGTAACATTCCTATACTTGTGACGTAGGAATTACTAGTAAACCAGTGTGTTCCTACGGACACTTTTATATGTATAGTATATTTCTGGGATTTCCTAGCTAGGGTCTAGATTGCAGAAGATTGCATTGACAAACACACAAACATATTTATAGAATACTAGTTTCCGCGGTTTCACATGCGTATGTACGTAAAGTAATACATCATGGGATTTTAAAATTAGAGTTTGCAACGGTCATAGCTCGACTATACATATAATACGCGAATCAAGTTACATTTATAGCTAATATAGCACAAAGGAACAATGTAGCTATCTATCAGTGAAAGAATTATGGAAATCCGACCAGCGGTTCCAAAGATTATCCCCTACACACATATAAACTTTACTTTACCTCTTTATAATATTTGCATAGATTATATTAACAACACAATAAAACGTGGTAGTTTGAGTTATTGTCTTTGGAAAGTGTGTTCCTACTAAACATGAATCATAACAAAATAGTGACGTCATCTGCCATATGCGTCGTTTAAAGCTAGAAACTGGAACCAATCACTAAGGTAGTTGTTGTAGCTTAATGGTAAAGTATGTGAAAGCCAAACTTCGGCATGAATGGGCCGAAATCAGCGCCGACTGCATACCATCAAGAAATACGTATGCTCGTTTGCAAACGTATGACATAAAAAAGAACACAGTATCCTTTAAGGTCCGAACAGGACTCGCTCGGTTGCTCGTTCTTCTCCATCGGAATCTACACTTTGGAACGAGCAAATAGCTTCACTAAGAGAACTGACCGACAGACTGGCACTAAGTATATCTTCAAAATTTTGTTTGACGTTCAAAAGTGCCTGTAAGCGTCTAATTGGAATAAATGATTTTTGACTTTTGATTTTTAAGTAGGCCAAATATGAAGGTTTTCACTCAGTAAGAATTAGACATTCCCTCTCGCCCTACCTAGGTTGAGATACCTACACTGTTAAAAGAGAAAAGTTTTTAGTATGTTACTGGATCCACCATCACCTCAATCCTTAATCCTCAAATCCTCAAAGATTTGAGGATTAAGGATTGAGGAAGGATTGATAGCAATTGGGTCTCCACTAGCAACAATAACAAGGCGAAACACAATTTAAGCGTTGTTCGTTATTATGGTAGTTTGGCTCTCCCACACATTGATGACAAATTTAATTTAAATTTTTTGTTGTAAATCAACGTGGTATTACACCATCCTTCATTTTCTGTATAATTCCCTTAATAATTGAAATAAATGATTTTGATTTTTACTTTGACTTTAATGGATGAGATGGATCTAGAATTTTCGGTCCCGTTACCTATTCTATATTATTCACGCAAATACGATTTGCGTATAAAGAATCCTAGTTAGCAGTTATGCAAATTATGTAAATGTACGTTTACAGTATTTAAAAAAGTCATGAGTATAAATGTGGATGGATGGAGAGGGAGGGGGAGACCAAAGAAAATATGTATGGATTGTGTGAGAAGTGATATGGAAGACAGAGGAGTTAGCGATAGCGTGACGAATGACAGGACAGAATGGAAGAAAAAAACATATTGCGCCGACCCCAAATAAAACGGGACAAGGGCAGGAAGATGATGATGATGTACGTTTACAGTAGCTAAGTCGGAACGAATGTATTATATCAAATAATAAATAATAAAAAAAAACAATGAAGTTATTAATGTCTCTGTACAATAATATAATACAAAATATTATTTTTTTATATTTTGGCGTCGTTACCCAATGTTGATGTCCTTCTGTTATTGTAATTATATTATTATAAATTACATATTTATATAATTACTATGTTGAATCTATTTTATCATACATAATGTAGAATTGAAATGTGAAATGTATCGAGCAGAGACGCGGGGCGAAGTATAATGACGAATCCGAACTGACAACCGCGTGACGTGTATTTTTTTATTACGTCAGGTAGAGACTAGTTTGAGTCGTGACGTTGCTTATGGCATTAGTTTCAGTGATAAAAGTATTATCTATTAAACATTATATATTGTTTAAACTGCCTAAATTTTATGTATTTTAATTTTTAATTTTATATTCAATTAATGTTTAATCGAAGAACAGTGACTATGCAAATAAATCCGTAATTTGCAAGTACAAATACCTATATCGTTAAAGTATCACAGCAGTTAGGTAAATACTGCGACAATTAAGTAATTATTGTTATTAAAAGGAAGGAAAATATATAAGAAAATAATGGCAAACCGTGGATAAGGAGTATACTTTTCGCTCGGTTCCGAGGAGACGGACGCGCGGACACACGGAGCCGTCGCGTATATACATTTGTCGTATATAGATTAGTTTATTTGCGAAGGTACTCCGGTCAGTTGATAACATGGCGTCGAAACGAATTAACACGTTTAAGGTGGTTTTTGTATCCTTGGCCGTGGTCGCGGTCGGGTTCATCATACGGACGCCATGGCTGCCCATACGAAGGGAGCTTAAAGCATCATTGGGGTATCCCAGGGACTCACTCCTAAATTTCACCGAGCTCACCGCGGAGTATGGATATGTGTCCGAAGAACACGAGGTAGTTACTGAAGATGGCTACATCCTCACCATGTTCAGGATCGTCCAGGCACGGAACTGCCATCAAAAGAAGAGATCACCACCAGTGCTGCTAGTGCACGGATTACTGCAGAGCTCTGACTCTTTCATAGACTCGGGGCCGAACGCTGGACTGGCCTACCTGATTTCGGATGCGTGCTACGACCTCTGGCTAGGCAACGTTAGAGGTAATTACTACTCCAGGGGCCACACACGATTGGATCCCAACAAAGATCCCAAGTACTGGAAGTTTTACATCGACGAGATCGGGTACTATGACATACCAGCAATGATAGACCACGTACTGGACTACACTGGGAACAACAAGCTGAACTACATCGGGTTCTCGCAGGGCTCTGGCACCTTCCTAGTGATGTGCTCCGAAAGACCAAGTTACTGTGAAAAAGTGCAACTACTGATCGGGTTGGCGCCAGCTGCCAGGCAATTTAATACAAAATCTAAATTATTTAGAACGTTAACACAAACCTTCGAAGTTTTAGAAGGACCATTGGAGAATTACGGCCTTGTGGAAGTGTTTTCTAAGGGAGCTGTAAGCCAAGAGTTTGTCGCTTTTTTCTGTCAACTGTCACATTTTACTGGGAAGCTGTGTGAACAAGTTTTGGACGTATTCGATTACGTGGACTCCTCTCATTTGGGCTCGATCACAAATGAGACGACGAGGGTTCTGTTCGGGCACTTCCCCGCGGGAACATCGCTGCACAACATGGCGCGGTACGGACAGAGTATGAAGAGCAAACGGTTCGAGAAATTTAATTACGGCAAGGAGAAGAACCTGGTGATGTATGGGAGCGAGGAGCCTCCGAGGTATAACCTCAGTGCGGTGACAGCTCCTGTGGTGTGTATATACGGGAGTAACGATGGTTTAGTGGACACCAAGGACGTGGAGTGGCTGGTGGGGAAGATACCAAATGTGATAGAGTCTATCAAAGTGGAGGACCCTCTCTGGAACCACATGGACGTGACGTACAGTCAGTACACCAGTGACACAATATTCCCAAAGATTAACGAGTATTTATTAAAATATACGAGTGCGTAGTGACATTGTGTTTCATTGAAATGGTTCCCGAGTAATTAAATATCGATAAGCGCCGTGACAACAGGTATTAGCCCAGTTTTCTTTTACATATTAACCTTCATTGTAAATTGATATTTGGAATGTTCTATTCATTTCCATTGACAAAATTAATTAACACGAATATAACGCTTTGTAACGTTAAATATTTATCGTGTTTTTTTACAAAAGAAAACGTAACAATGCGTTTATTTAACTACATTACAAGCTGTAACAGACTCTTGATTACTTAAGACTCAAGTTTTGTTGAACTTGAAGAAGTTTTTTTTTTTGTTTAAACTCAAATATAATAGTTTAACAATTTTAAAGTGATTGGGAGGTTGCATCTTAGGGTCATTGACAGAGACGGTATCGACCCGCGACCAAATATATAGGTACCTGATTTTTATATGTATATGTATATTTAGTCGACCTTTTTAAATATACATGTGTGAAATTTAGCGCCATAATATTTTAGTGTCGTCTACAGTTCTTATTCAATGGATAGGTTAAAAATAGAAAATCTTAAAGTTTTAGTGGAAAGATCCTAATAACACTATTTAGCCGATTTGTACATTACCTTTTTGACCGCGGCTTTGTCCGTTTACATAGCTCTGATGCTTTATATCCTGGGACACAAAATTTGTTCTATGGTAACATGAAGAAAACCAAATATTCAAATACACTTTAGCATTTTACATACATACACATACCTATAATATTTGTATTGGAACAATGACAGATTATAAAGCAAATAAAAGTGAATATAATCCGTCAGTTATTAAAAGTAATTTAAAATTTCCGTTAAGGTTTCGTAAGAAAAGAAAAAATACGTCCCCTTTCCAAAATTTAGTCTTTTTCTCTTTTTAGTACCTATATAAAGGAGTACAAAGCAATGCTTGGAAATCTATCAATACATAATAGCTCTATAGCAGTTTTAATTAATGGCGTCTAATTCAGACATCGAGCGTAATTCTCCACTATTAGAGCAAAATGAAAATATGTCCAGAAGTTACTGCATTTTAGCATATATTATTTAACAAGACCTTATAATTTATTTTTATATTTTTGTTTATTACTGGACTATACTATATTACGTCCACCAGCTACGCTTTCACACTCTTAGACGTGATAAAGTTTTCGAAAAGAGTCTTAATGATTGATTGCCAGTATTAAATTATTATAAAAAAAAATGTTTAATTGTGCACACATATTTAATCAGTGGGCTAGATTTACTAATACCTTCCTTTGTCCTTTGGAAGAAAGTATCTTTTAGATTACAATGACCAAGATTGTATGTTATGTATATACCTACTACCTACTGTGATATTTTCATTGTATATAAATACATATACCGTATAAATAATAGTTACCTACACATGTATATATATGTGTGTATGTGTGTATGCACTAATCAGAAATCATAGTCCACTTCCTAGTAAACAATATATTAATTACGTATCAATTATTTGTGTGTTTATTCATTGTCCATGTACTTATTTAAGTAATCAAAGCAGTGACAAAGTAAATAACTTGTTACATAACAATGTCTTTGTTTTCTTTATCTATATAGGAATGTTTTAAGTACATGAAAATGACCTTTATGAGTTTGGTAATAAGGAGAGTTTTACTATCAATGTTGATAGGGAAAATAATAGTTAAAGGTTACTTTGTTATCTATGCTATATTTTTATAAGGGTCAGTATCACAAGTTTCTTGTAAGTATCTGATAATAGTACATTATAATATTCAATTAGGAATATAAAAACTGTAATAAAAAATTGTATCGTTGGAAGAATGGGTCGAGAAAAGTATATCAAACTAGCTTTTGCCCGTGACTTTGTTTGCGTGGAATAGTGACTTCCTGCAGATTTTTGGTTTAAAAACTGTCTACTTAACTAAACTGTGTCCGTTTTCGAGTTCCAAACTATGTTCTTTTTTTTATAGAATAGTTGGCAAACGAGCAGACGGATCACCTGATGGTAAGCGATCGGCGCCGCCCATGGACATCCGCAACACCAGAGGAGTCACAGGTGCGTTGCCGGCCTTTTAAGAAGGAGTACGCTCGTTTCTTGAAGGTTTGAAGGTCGTATCGGTTCGGGAATACCGCCGCCGGAAGATTATTCATGTGTGTGCCAAATTTCACACAAATATATTTAGTAGTTTAGACGTGAAGAAAAGACAGGCAGACAGACAGAGCTACTTTCGCATTTATAATATTAGTTTCGATTGTTGAAAAGTTGATATGTGAGTTTTTTCAAAATCATAAAATCAGATTCATAAAGACTCCATCTTGGATATTTTAACAACTTAAATATCTTATAGCTACGTATTTATTCTAAGACACAGCTTCCTAGAGAATAAATTAAAATTTTGCAAAAATCTATTAAACATTTGTATTATTTTTTATGGTTGTGTGCCTACGTATGTACGTATGCGGAAATATAAAACCAAAATACTTAGTAACAAGTTTTTTTGAATGCAGCAAGTTTTCATGTAGGTATGTTTTTTTCTAAAATTTTAATATATATGACGTTTTAATTGTTTATTTGAGTGGGTTACCTGTTCTTGTTCTTATTTTTATTATTTGGGTCAGGTTTCGAATAAAGTAGGTACAGATTTTGATCTTAATAGTTTTGGTAATAGAGAAGAAAAATATTAAAATTTTTGGACAATTGACGTAATACAAATACTAGTGTCTATCAATCTTAGAGCCGCCGTGACTACTCGACATGCCTACGCTTGGATGTCCACATAACGAGGACCTTTTTATGGCGTATTTGTCAGTCCACTGCTAATAAAAATGTAAAAAACTCTTAAAAGTAAGGTTTCATATTTTAACTTTACTTATATTCTCAAAAGACCTCTTCTCGTCACTCTAGCTGTAGGGAAACACTTTATATATAAGTATACATGTATGTCAGAAATCGAGCATATTATATTGTATCCAGTCAAATTTGCTTAAGTACACCGAGTCCATTGTCGAGCAGAAATGCCCCACACAAGGATTCAGTAGGTATTGGGTGTGCGTTTTAAAATATATATCCACATCAAAAAGGTGTTCCTTGAGGAAATCGAACCTGCAACACGTTGCAGAACTGACGAAGCAGTCAAAAAATTAACATTTATCTTAGATTGCACGGTTGGCGCGGTGGCCGGGCAACGCGTCGCGGTCTCGAACGGAACAACTCTTTGTGTGACCCACAAATTGTTGTTCCGGGTCTGGGTGTGATGTGCATGTAAAATTGTATGTTTGTAAATGCACCCACGACACAGGAGAAAATCCTAGAATGAAGCAAAGTTTTTGTCAAACAAAAAAAAGAATTTATTACGTTATCACTGATGTAACACTGACCGCGAGATGGCCGCGCAATGTCGGCGCACGCGCAGCTGTCAAGGTGAGGGCCGCGCTAACCAATAGCACGGCCAGAGCCGCCATTGTTGCGTTGCTTAGCAACCGATTTGTAATTGTTATTGCAAGTGCAAGGAAATTGCTTCTGTTCTATATTTTTTTCCGAAAGTAATTTTATTGTTTAGTCTGCTTTTTGCTTTCCGAATAGGATTTGGAATCCAAACTAATATTATAAATGCAAAAGTAACTCTGTCTGTCTGTCTTTTCTTCACGCCTAAACTACGGAACCGATTTGGTACAGACATAGTTTGGAACTCGAGAATAGACATAGGATAGTTTTTATACCAAAAATCTGCAGGAAGTCACTACTCCACGCAAACGGAGTCGCGGGCAAAAGCTAGTTTTTTATAAGCAAGTTTTAATTTTTATGAATCAAAGGAGAGCACAATTAGGAGACAACTTTATATTACATAATTACGAACTGTAAATATTAAGGAGTTCTACTTAAATATCTTTTTAATTCTAAGTTAACAATAAACAAGTTGTATAGTGCCAGTTATGAAAGATATTTTATAAGTATAGCGCGGTCATCAAACCTATTACTTATCACACTACAGTTATAAGTCGGTCAATGCACTTGATTATTTATTTACATTGCGATACTTACCTAAGTCAGATACAAAAGAAATAAATAAAATATAATCATTAACAAGAAATAGGTCAATAATCTTGATGCCTTATAATAATAATAAACGTGAAAGATTGTAAGTATGTGTGTATGTTGGTTCGTTACATAAAAACTACTGAACATATCTGAATGAAATTTGGCACAGATGTAGACTTGATGATTAACTCAAAAAAATTAAAATTTTGCTCATGGTATGGGATAAGCCGCTGACAGGAACTAGTTATAAATGAAACCAATTACTTCGGAGCGTGATGTGAACCTAGCTCTTTCCGCGGGTGGATGTACGCACGTAGCTGACGAATGTTCTACACATTTGAGAAGGACCGGGCGGTAGCGCTCTCTTTTAAACTGATAATAGCAAATTCCTTCTTGGGTAGGGGTGGCCCACAGTCCACAGTCAGTCTTTTAATGGCATATGGTGGCATAAGGTGCTGGTAAGGTAATGGTATACGGTGCTAATAAGCAATCGGTGCCTCCCATCGACAGAGGTCCATAGAAGTCACCGCAACACGTCCGATGGCTTGTAAAAACGTTACCATTTTGAGGATTTGGGGATTGAGGAATGAAAGGTGTGGGAAAGGGCTTTTTTGAGGGTTTTGTGACCTACTACCTACTCTTCCCTTGCTCGCAGTCCGTAGACAGGGCGAGAAAGCGCTGGCCCTCCGGTAACTTCTACGACAAAACACAACGCTTCGGTAGTTTCACGTCGGTATTCTGTAAAGCTGTTAGCTCACTCCAGTCGAGGAGGCCCATTCGTGCTGAAGCCAGGCTCACCCATATTATATTTTTAGCAACATTTTTTCTTTGCTTTTAGCACAGACATGCCATTTTCTACTTAAATGTAGTACATAAGCGCAAACACCTATGTATGAGCTAAATTAACAATTTACACATTGCAGGACAAAGCAAAAGCAACTTTAATCTCTTCTGAATAAGGTTTATAATGATGTGTAGATTGTCTAAAGGTTTTACACGCTTAGTTTAAACCGATTAGGTCATAATTAACACTATGAGGGGTCAAGTTCAAGATTACAAGCCAGTGTCAATGGTAGAGGTAAACAAGTTTATATATAATGTGTAAATATATCTACGTATGTACCGTATAGTTTTGTAGGTACTTACGCGAATACTTTTTCGCAAAACAAATGACTAAGTACATTTTTTATGTAACATTAATGTTCATTTTTTTGCACTTCACGTCATTAGCGTATAAGTTCCCACTGCTAAACAAAGGCCTCTTCTCACACGGAGAAGGTTTGAGTATTAATTATCATGCTTGCTCAACGCGGATTGGCGATTTCAAACTTATATTTAGAAATTCTATAGGTATGTACAGTTTTCTTCATGATGTTTTCCGTCACTAAATGTCAGTGGTGGCAAAATAATCATAGAATTTTATCATATTTTTATAAATTTAACAAAAAACTAGTTTATGCTACCGGCTTTGCCCGCGTGATAAGGAAAAAAGTATCTACTCTGTGTGATCCACAAATAGTTGTTTCGGATCTGGGTGTGATGTGTATGTGAAATGGCATGTTTGTGCACCCATGACACAGGTGAAAGCAATAGAACTTAACAAGTTTGGATGAAAGGATGGTTTTTTAGTCATTTGTACATTATATCCTTTCATCCAAACTGGATAACCTTTGGCTTTACAATATTAGTAGGACTTACCTAAAAGTAATATGGTCTTCACAACAAGCTGATCATAGTAATATGTAAGTATTACATTAACACTTTACACTATTTATAATTAATTATAAATACTCGAAACTTTGTATTATAGACGGTAAATGTATTAGTTTTCAATTGTATGGTAATAGGAATGCCCCTTATGTATCTACCTATAGCTACCTATATACCTCTACCTACTGACTTTCTTACAAATTTATTGACACCTGGCAGGTAAGTGAAGAGCCAAGCTTCGGCTCGACCGGAGTGAAACCACGGTCTGACAGAAAACCAGCGTGATTCAACTATTGCGTTGTATTTATCACCGTGTACCTGTCTTCATAACCGTGTTTACCCAATCCTTAAATATCCGAAACCCTTATCCCCAAAAGGTCGGCAACGCACTTATTACTTCTTTGGTGCATCAGGTAATCCGTCCGCTCGTTTGCCGACCTATTCCATATAAAAAACCTGTAGTCACACGTGACCTCGCAAAATTCTTCGTGAATAATCAAAACAATCTAAAATTCAAAAATTATGCTAATCAGTCCCGGCAACCAGAAAATTTACTTCGTAAAAATCAAAAAGAGGTCGAACCGGTTTTCGAAAAAAAAAAGAACATTAAAATGGGTTTTGAGCCTCTTTTGATTTCAACGTGACTAATTAATACCTTTATATTAATTATTCTTTATTAGAATTTATTAACATAAAAAAATACATTCTAACAAACCAGTATAAAAAATTCATACAAAATATCAATGACAAAGAAAGTTATTTTTTACCTGTGAACCGAAAACTGAACATAGCATTAAAACCAATGCTGCACATGAACTACATCATAACAATATTAGTTTAACAAACCCAGCAATGTATATCAAAGTGATTGATGTTACCTTGTAAGTCGTATAAATTACTTCGGTCAAGTTCAATGGACGGATTGGCCGGGCGGCCGGGGTCTCGTTGTAAGGACAAGGTCAAAACACATAAAATATATAAGTTAAAATACTACATATATGTATGTACGAGTTCAAAAGTTTAGTTGCGTACAAGTTTTTGTTAATTTACGCACTTAACTATTGTTTTTGCGCAGTTTTTTTAAGGGTTATATATGATACAAAGGCCGTCATGCGTGACCTGCTTGTGGCATTAGTCCTCCTCACTCAAAGATCCAATCACAGCACTCTGTTTGTTTCACGCTAGTCGAACTGCCGAGACATAATAATGACCTACAATTTCTTATAGCATTAACGTGCAGTGAGCCCTTGGTCTTATAGAAAAAACGCTTGCTTTTTTCCTGTAGTGAGGTGACCTTTTTTGGGGAGAGAAGATCATCTAACTTAATGATGTCTCCCACCCAGGGTATGGCAGAAGGGAGCGTCATATACTAACTGACTAAAAACCCCATCCCGTTCCTTAGCCTGCTACAGGCCGATGCCACGGTACCTTATTACGCCTAGCCCGTGATCCCGGCTTAATCAGGTCTGGGTGTGATTGGACATCGCTAGCTAGCCTTGCATTCCGTCCGCAGACCCACGCTTACGGTGGCTGGAGATCGTCGTTTGGTCTCCGACGCCCGGAGTGTCACCTACTGCGGGAGTAGTGAACAACCTGAAGTCACCCAAAACCCAAAAAGTCGATAAAGCAGGGCAGCGCCAGGCTTATTTCCAGGTGACCCGTCAGTTCGTTTGTCGCCTTAGAAAAAAAAGTATGTTTAAGTTTTTGTTGAACTTGTACGCAGTTGACTATATTTTTTGTGTTGTTATGTTAATTTAAATCAATTACCTACATATTCATTTCAGTAAGCAATGACCCTGGTTTTTTTCCATGGCTCCCATGTGTTACAACAGTTAGAAGTGGGCCTATTATCTAAGCTGTATATTGTACCTATATGTATAGATTTGTTTTTAATTTTCACTGCATCAACTATGCTGTCTAAACGGTCAGAAGAACCATGCTTCGTGACGTATGGACCAGGTCCTTGGGAAGAATACCATTGGTCTACCAATAACCGCCATGCATCAACTTGTAATTCCCTGTGTGAGTTCGGTTACCTAAGGCCTAATTACATCAATCCTCTAAGTAAATAAAGTGTGGGAGAGCCATGCTTCAGCACGAATGGGTCAACTCGACCAGAGTGATACCACGGCCTCACAGAAAACCAATCCGGGAAGGATCCTCCCCCCTAATCTTCCCAATCCCTCCTCAATCCTTAAATTTCCAAATCCCTAATCCCTATAAAATCGGCAACGTACTCGTAACTCCTCCGTTGCGGGTGTCCATGGGCGACGCTGATTGCTTACCATCAGGTAATCCGTCTGCTCGTTTGCCGACATATTACCTAAATAAATAAAAAAATACCCAAAAGATCTGGTGCCCAACAGCTTGCAACTCCTCGATTTTGCGGCTATCAATGATTGGCGCTGATTGCTTAACATCAGGTGATCCGTCTACTCGTTTGATTATCCCATAAAAAATAATTACAGTTGTTATATAATTGATTTATTGCTTGTATCTTGTTTGTCGTACGTTTCTAGTTAATATTGATACAGTTATATATTTTTTTGGTTTGTTTGTAACCAGCCGCTAGAAGTTCCGGGGTTTTTGCTACAAAAACGTGTTAGTTAGTAGTATAAACATAGTAGACTCTGGAACGTTCTCTACACTCATGTTAAACAGATTCCATAAAAGTCAAAAGTCATTTATTATTTCAATTAGACCCTTACAGGCACTTTTGAACGTCGTTTTATATCATAAATCTTCATCTTCAATCACTCCATCTATAAAAAACCGCATCATAATCCGTTGCGCAGTTCTAAAGATTTAAGCGTACATAAGGAAATAGGGACAGAGAAAGCGACTTTGTTTTATACTGTGTTGGGATACGTAGCCGAAATTATGGACGCCATAGTTGACAGCTATATTATCCTACGTTGCAGTTGTAATTAATGACATCGCAAAGTATACAATCGTATTAATTATGTACTCAATTTGTTTTCGTTTATACTGTGACCTTTTGTATAATTTTATACATTCCTACTTTTCAATTAATATTAATATTAATATGACCTAAATTTTACAGGTATTGCCCCATATTGAAGTGCATGTTTTATGAGTAAATAGTCATGCTTATAATTAAATGGTGGGCTATTACAAACCCTGATATATTTTTCGATAACATAAACAGTTACAAGAGCAATTTACTATATTCAAAAAGTGAATTCGTCGAAATTCATTTGTTAAATCGCTGACCGCTAATGGTTGATTCGAAAGTTTTGAAAATGGAATTAAAAGACATTTCTTTTTTTGTGTCATCATATTATATCATTTATAAAACACAGAAATAAAAATAAATACTTTTTTGATTTCGGTTTCTTTTTTTTTTCTTTTCAAAAAACGTTCGATAAACTTCGCTGTTCTTGTTACAAAAATTCTATTATAATTATAATAATTATATTATCGTTGTGATATAAAACAAGGAAGCGGGCGGTTATTAAAACAAATACAGTGAGGTAGCCGGAGTAATTAATTTTAAATACAAGACGTTTTTACTGTTAATTACTTAAATAAAAAGAAAACATCATGGAATTGCCCGTGGTGATAATTATAAAACCAGTTTTCAATGTTTAATGGTTCCCAACCAACAACGTAGATACTTACGTAGGACGTAGTACATAGTTTTAGCAGCAAAAAAGTGTTTACTTGTAGTTATGTATGTCGTTTGTTTAACTAATTACTTTAATTACAGAATAAAATAATACTGTAAAAATAGTAGACTGACTATTTATTATAGGTAGTGTTGAAACAATGGAAATTAGCATTCAAAAATGTTTTTTTTTTATTACGCACATATTTTTTTTAAGGTATAACTCGGCAAACGAACAGACGGATTACCTGATGGCAAGCAATCGGCGCCGCTAATGGACACCCGCAACACCAAAGGAGTTACGAGTGCGTTGCCGGCCTTTTGGGGATAGGGGTTGCGGATATAAAGATCGGGAAGGGGCAATCCCTTCCCGATCTTTCTATCCGCCTCCGGTAACCTCACTCACACGGCGAAACACAACGCTGTGATTGTTTCACGCCGATTTCTGTTAGCCCGTGGTATCACTCCGGTCGAGCCGACCCATTCGTGCCTGAGCTTGGCCCTCCCACACTGTCTTCTTCTCTTCATCTAATAACTTGTTCGTATTTGTATGTTGTGAGGTGTGGGAGAGCCATGCTTTGGCATGCATAGGCTGGTATCGCCGTAGAGATACCAAGGCCTGACAGAATACCGCCGTGAAAAAGCCCTGTAACTTCTTTAGGGTTGAAAATGTCCATTGGCGCGTAAGGAGGCACCGATTCTTAACCATCAGATCAGATGATCAGCCAGACTGTTAGCCGACCTGTCTCATAATAAAATTAAAAAAGTGACACACGTTGACACAAGTTATGTAGGTATTTAAAATATTAAATTTAGTACGTTTTTATAAACCTCAGTTTTAACAAAATTTTATATTAATAAACTAAAGGAATTCAAACTAAATAACTTTTATATACACTGAAAGATTTTTTATGCCTGCCCACTTTTCTTCTAAAGAGCTTATTAGAAATTGGTCGGAAAATAGGCATATTACGCGACACGGCCCATTTATGACATTGTAACATTTTTAGGGCTGGCAACAACAAAAACTTCTAAATAACAACACCGAAGGACATAGACACGAGTGCCATAGAACAGCGTCTTTCATCACGTCTCGCTGCGTATTCTACTTAATTTGAAATTAAATTCTCCGTCTCACAAAAAAGGTTTTATTATTTTTCTCTCATATGTCAGCGCAGACCTTACTTATATGAAATGTGCTCATATTGTCAATAACGGGACCACTCAACCTTTGGTTATTAAAGTCGGTGTTATAGAAAAACAAGGCATTTGGAGCTGGGAATACCAGCGCCAGGAACAATGCACGGACAGCACCAGCTCTCTACAGTCTCTATATATATATTTGTGTAGATATTTGTCCGTCTATTTGCCCCCGTGACAATAGATCGTGGTGGAATGTTCTTCTATTGATTCCTCAGTATTTCATATTCAGTACGAGTTTGTTCCTAGATTTTGAAGATTAAATTGTCGTTTTTTTTTTAAATGTTTACTGTAAGGTTATGGTTATTTTTGTTTTTCACTTTTTATACAACTATGTTGCTTGGCGGTAGGTGATTAAATTTAAGAATAATGACTGCATGGTTGGCTGTGGCTTAAATTTTATTACCACTCGCCAATTCTCTATGTATTCTAGAAATTGTTGCTCTAAGTTTCTCTTGTAAACGCACGTATGTGTACGGCACCAGGCTAAGATCGAATATAGATAGCTATATTAAAAAAAAATAGTTCTATAATAAAATTAGCAATCGAATACAGAACTTTTTGCATATATTTTGAAATAAAATTGTAGGCACAAAAAATTGGAACAAAAATTACACGAAAATACAAATTGTAAAGAAAAAAGAAATACAAACGAATTAAATTTCAAATTCGGAATCACAATTTGAATTCGACACTGTGATCTCTGTTTCAATAAATTTGATAATATCACAGAATACTCTCGTTTCACGCTTGACAACAAATTGTTTTGTTATGTTTTGTTTCATTAATTCTGACTTTCGTTTGTTTCAGGTATGATGGTGATCTTATGAAGTCGTGATAGTGTTCAAGTGTGTACCCAGTATTTCTTTTTCAAACTAATGTTATAAATTGCGAAAGTAACTTTGTCTGTTTGTCTTTTCTTCACACCTAAACTACTGATTCTATTTACGTGAAATTTGGTACAGACATAGTTTGGAACTTGAGAAAGGACTTAGGATTTTTTTTTTTTTTTTTTGTGAGGGGAAAATCATCAAATTACTTCTCCCGCCCAGGGCCGGGCAGGAGGGAGTGTCAGACTCTTACTGACTAAAAACCCCCCTGTTCCTTCTCCTGCTCTGTGCCGAGGTCGCGGTACCTTATTGCGCTTACCCCGCAACCCCGGCTGAACATCAGCCCTTTAGGGCCCCGTCTGTGGTGGTCGAATGGCTCTTTGAGGCGCGCGCGGAACGCTACGCGCCGTACGCTCGGGCCTGGTTCTGGTCGGGCGGCGAGCTGCCCTTACTCGCCGACCGCAGGCCCGTACTTACGGTGGCCGGAGATCGTCCCTCGATCCCCGACGCCCGTAGTGTCGCCAGTTGCGGCTGCTGGGGCGTGAGGAGAAGGATTGCTCCCTCACGCGGGCCGCCTCTCTCTTTGCGAGCATGACTGCTTCACAAAAGGAGGAGACGGCGTCCCAGTTCCTCTCACTCCGCACCATGGCCTCGACTAAGGCCGGGCGCGAGAGGTCGCCGCCGCCGATCACTTCCCTGAGGATACGGCGGTGCTCAGCCCAGGCAGGGCATACCGCTACCGTATGCTCCACCGTATCCTCTAGGTGGTCCTCACAATGACGACACTCGGGCGTTTCCTCCCGCTGAATCCGAAACAGGAACCTACCGAAGCTGCCGTGCCCGGTAAGCACCTGCGTCAGGCGGAAGGTGAGGACGCCGTGGCGTCTCTCAAGCCACTCCTCAAAGAGGGGTCTTACCGCTGCTATGGTAGCGTGCCCGGCCCTCGGTTGCGACAGTCGTTGTTTCC